GAAAGAAATAATAAAACACAAAAAAGTCGAAAGACAAACCCATACCACGAACAAATTGCTTTTTGGAAAAAGGACATAACCAACAAGACATAAGAAAAACCACAACAAACCCAACATAAAACGTTGTCACATAACAGGACCCCTCACAAAAACCGCATGAAATCATACTCCCACTCCTGGCCTAACCCACCAGGAAGGACGTCCTGAGCATGCTCTATAGCCGGCCTAACCCACCGCGCTACATCCACGCTTTGTGACCACACCTCTATTTTTAATAAGAGCTACTCAAGTGTGAGTAACTCTTCAAAATAACCGAACTAAAACAAAAAGCTTTTGTGAAAACAACTAACTAAAATCATAATTAAAAAATATTAAACTAATAAATGTTTTATAAAATGTAAATTACATTATGCAATACATAGATCAGAATACAACACCAAGGACGAACATCTAAAGACAAAACGACCCCACTACACTCGAGAGAGAATGACCAACCACAATCGATATGCCACTCACAATCACAACTCAAAGGATTTAGAGTACGACTTGACTTCGCAGAAAAGGACTTCATTGAACTAGACCAATGACCACCTCGATGTTCAAGTATACGTACAGATCCGAGTAACCAGGCATCCCCTCCACGCACAATCTCCACGCAGAACAGAAAAACCTGACATAGCAAACCATTCTGAAATCAGATTTGAGTTTGTTGCAAAGACTTAGTCGTTGTCACTAGAAGACACAACGTCTTATGTCTCTAACTCCAGCTTCCTGGAATTTCTTTAACAAAGAGGAAACAAAAGAAATATGATGTTCGCCAAACACCAACGTCCATCATCCATCCTTCGAATTGCAGAAGAACTATTCTAAAAAATTCTGTAAAACCCGGATGGGTGGAACCTGATCTAAACTACATTTTATGATTGGATAATTTAGATATTTTACCAGTGTAAAGTATTTAATATTAACCAATCATGATCCATCTAACTAACAACCCACTTATTTGTAAGTGCTGAAGTTACTTGTAATTTCAGCACCAGAGAGATTTGAATTTAACTTAGAAATTAGTTGGACTCTCCCGAGCACTTCAGCAGCCGCAATAAACCAGTATACCCTAGATCTATTGAGCCTAGCAGAGACTAGTTAAACAACCTGAGACTAGATAGTATAAGAGTAAGATTAGGATCGGTATTAGACTAAGAAGTTGCACGAATCTATCCGGCCGAAAATAAGATAGCGTGACGAGCAGACGGTGTACCCTATCCGAAATTACTCTATGAGTTAACCAACTCGGTCCTAACTCACTCAGGCGCAGATTTAAACTAAATTTAAGGGGGGAGCACGCCGAAAAAAGAATATTTTTGGTCAATTTGTCATTATTGGTCTGATTTGCTGCGCAGAAATTTTTTATAAAGATGAGGTTTTTATAGGATTTAAGCACGAAAATCAAATCAGAGCACGAAAATCAAATCAGTCGAAATTATAGGAACCGACAAAACTCTTGCCGAAAAATTCTGCGCGCGCTACTCAGACCAACTGACAAAAAAATGATTAGCTTCCCTAATTTAATATCTCACAGATTGTCAACAAAACTATCATTGAAAAAATAGAAAACCTTAGTTCTCGGCAAATTTTGTTGGAAAAAATGTGTTTCATGGAAATATATGTTTGCATTTCTTAGCTAAACAAATCAGTGTATCTCTACCTGAAGTCATTTTTTATAAGTTAGATTTTTGCGCGTACTCTGCTTCAAAGTGAATTTTTAAAACTTTATAAAGTAAATTGTGAGTGTTTTCACATTTTGGAAACATCTGTAAAAAAACAGAGTGTAGAAATTGTGAGAATCGAACCCACAATTGGCTCTGAAAACGCTACGAATTGCTGAATTGAAATTCTGCTGAATCAAAAAACTGAATCTTATGTGATAATCTGGAAGCCTGTAAAAAAATTTTAAAATGTCGAAGTAGGTTTTTCTCTCATTCATGAATGAAAAATTGCTCGATTGTCAATGCTTCACTAATTTACCTTATTACGGGATACCGCTGTGACAAGTTTGATGTTCCTGTATCAAACAAGACTGCTCGTATGTCAGGTCAAAGCTCTGAATTTTCCGACTACCCATACTCAAAAATTGCTTTTAAACTCGGACAAATTTTAAATAGAATGTAACATAATTTCCTGTATAACATCATTCGGTTTTTTATCTAGCATTAGAAATAAACTATTTTAGGATAATCTTGAATCAGTTCACGGCTCAACCAAGACATGTTCGTTCTAAATGACTTATGCAAATAATTTGCAATTTTGGCTTTTATTTGACGGTAACTGTAATTAATTTTTATTAAACTGCTAAGATTATTGACCACGGTTACTCAGATCTAGTGGCTTAGAGGCTTGTTTTCTGAACATGAGATGGGCAGTTCAATTTTATCTCGGAATCTTTCTTTTTGCTAGAAACAGCCTAGACTTAGGATGTTTATGAGCAAAAAGCAGAAACTAGATACGAAATAAAGAGATCTGGAAAGTCTTCTCTTTAGTTTACCTTTTGAAAAGTTTTTTTTTGCCAGCAATGTAAAATAAAAACTAAGTATCTCTGGTCACAAATCAATTTTTTTAAATGTACGGGTGATCTTTAATTGATCTCCAATGGCTTGTGATAAAGAAAATTTTGTCTAACTCCAATGGCTTGCGATATAGAAAATTTTGGACTGTCACTATCGCATATTAAGTTTTTAGGTTTGAGTTGTATTGGGAAATAGTATGACCAATTAGCTTGCTTCGTTTTTAAACGGGAAAATTTTGAGTGCGGAATAATACTTCGTGCTTTCTTTTCAGCGTAATTGATAATTATTCGTCAAAGTTTTAAGCGAGTAGTTTGCGTAGGCTCAAAGCTTATTGGGGTTAAGGCGTAACACATCCGCATGAGAACACGTAAATTTCAGGTTCGAACCCAACTCTAATAATCAATCAAAAATTGGTCTGATGAAAAACCACCTCAAGCTCAAGCATATATTGTTTAACTTCTTCGAAATTTCCTCGGTAGGAAAAAGTTTTATATATGAAGGATTTGACTTATGCAAATAATTTAGTTGCATTTATGTTTGAGTTCGGTGCAAAAGAATTTGTCGTCAACGCTAAAAATCATTTTTCGAAACTGTTGTCGACCTTTTTTAGGTCAACTCAATTGATTGTCCGAGCTCTCCCAAAACGCTAAAAAAGCTCGCAAGCACAATTTTGAAAACAAACAGGCAAAAAAGGCGTTCTTAGGAAAATTTTGGAAAATATCTAGCAAAAGATCATGTTTTTGGCGCGCTGCTCCCTCGTAAAAGTTTGTAAATAGTGGCGCCTTTAGAAAAATTTTAGGGTCTGTCAGCCAAAATGAATAGTTCAAAATAATACTCTTTTGGTCGAATCCTTAAATAGGTGTCCCCCCCCCCCCCCTAAATCCGCTATTGAGATAAACAAAGTAAGCTAGAAAATTTGGTTTTGCCAAATTTTATGAGGACGTATTATTTGTTGGTTATGCTAGCATTTCAACCTAAGGTCTTCTGACAGAGCGTAGTTTTTTTGAAGTCTGATTGCTTCAACGTGCCAATTGAGATTTTTTTGCTATTTTTTTAGAATAAGTACTGAACTTTGTCTCATCATGATGAGTTTGAACATCTGCATTTTCTTCTGCACTTTTTAGGCCGGCCAAATTGATCTTCCGAATATTCCCAAAACAGTATGAAGACACTTTTCTGCAAACAAAATAACAGATTTTTTGCAATCTGAGATTTTCTGCAATCTGAGATTATCTACAATTCTGCTTCCATTTGTTTTTTTTTGTACAACAAGTTTTTTTTATATATTTCAGAGACTTTCGAATTATATGAACTAACTTACTCACGTTTTTTAAGCCATCAAAGGTTTAATGTTTTGCTAAAATTATGATTTTTCAACAGTAGCAAAATATCTGATTAAAGTTTTATCATTTGCTAAACTTAATTAGTGTTTTTTTTTGTTCCGACCATTGAAAATCGGGAGAAACTTTGTATTCCGGTCTGTTTTTGTTTTTTTTTCTTTTTGTTTTCCATGCAAAATCAGGTTCCTCAAATAATCGCTGGACTTGGTTGAGTGATTTATCATATTTAAGCCTTTTCATCTGTGATTCGAACCACATTATTAAATTACAAAAGTTTCTAATGCAGAGAAAAGCCAATTTGAAGTTTTTGAAAGATGAAATATTTCGTCTTAATTCGAGCGAATTAAGCGAGCGATCAGGCATTCAACAATTTAATTGTGCCAAAGCAGTAAAGCTAATTTTAGGAGTTATTTAACTCCATTTTTGGAACTAAAAACTTCCAAAATTAAAAAATTTTCTGCAAAAAAAGTTGAAAAAAATTTAACTTCTAAATTTTTTATATTCTTTTGTTTTTCTTGTATTTTGTTTTTCAAAAAAAAACGTTGCCCAATTTGCCTAATTTACTAGGATTGTCAAATCAGTCTATATAATAGTCTTACGTCAGATCCTTTCACGCCACACAAAAACAAGTTAAATATTTGAGAAAAGCTTTTTTTTCGTAGTTTTTTAAAGACTATGGTCGGAAAGTTCTGTGCTACTTGCGGAGTAAACGGCTATCTTTGGTATAGTCTTTTTTGCAACCAAAAAGCAATTGAAAAGCTTACGGTTTTTGAAAGTCAAGCTTTCCGATTTCATATTAGTATTAACAGTCTAAATACCGGAAGTTTAAATCAGATAATTGTTGAGATTTTTGATTCTAAATTGTTAGTGTTTATCTGAAAGACCGTTTAAAAACAATGACAAATCCTTGAAATGAGTTGTAGACGTTTATGTTAGATAATTGTGCAATGTAGGCGTGGCAACTAAAGTTTTTGTTAAATCAGTTTCAATAGTTTTATGTTGTGGCACAAAAATTAATTTTGAAAAGTTACCTAAACTCGAAATTATTAAATTCTGTTGTTCTCGGGATTGTGAGATGTTGATTTGTGATTTCCAGGCTTCAGCAATCATCAGCAAAATCAGTGATGGACAACTGGTACAAAAGATTGACAGAAAGAAAACTACTTTTTGAAATGCTGCGGCTGAAACAATTGAGAGACAAGTTGTTTTGTTTCATTCGAAAATTTTACTTGTATCATTTGATGTTTATCATACTTGATGACCACGGACAGTTCTAAACTGTAAAAAAACTGCTTGTTTATCATGGCAAAGCCCTGAATGTTCCGACTGTCCTTTAAGGCATTTGGAGTAGTTTGGGAAAAGTTTCCATAAATGGAAACTGAAAAATTTGTTTCATTTTTGTTTATATTCCCCACACGCAATTTCAAGTACAAATTTATTTATTCCTTTATAAGTTAATTGGATCAATAAATTTGCATCAATTCAATTTAAAGGGGTCTTTTAGGCCATACCCCTCTCCCCTAAATGGTGAAAAATGTAAATGAAAACTTTTATTAAGAAATTGGAGACTGATTTTACTCAGAAATGCAGGAAATTATATCCCAAGCTCTAAATGAAGCTAGAAAATAGAAAATGAGAAATAAAAAACTGCATTTTGGCATCCTTTATATGAAATTTTCCGAGGGAATTCGCAAAAAAAATAGAGAAAAAAGCTAGTTAGAGACTAAATCAAGTAAAAGGCTTGTTTTGACCAGTCTCATATTAGTATCTTGTATTTCCTAGCGATATCGATCCAATTTTGTTATAAGGTTTTTCATTTTCGTTTTTTCAATTAGGGGGGTTTAACTGAAAAGACCCATTTAAAGCGCATAAGTGACCCCAAACGCCCATAACTTTACGAAAAATAGTCTCAGGATTAAAATAATTTTATTTTAATTTTGAGCGCAAGGCATTAATATCTCCCTGATTGTGTTATAAATTCCGTCAAAAATGGTTAATCAAAAATTGAAAATTGGGTTGACTAAAAAAATTCCCGCAAGCATAATTATTCCACTTTTCGTAAGTCGGAACAATTAGCTTTATTATACGTTTGCAGTATACTGTCAGTTTTGTTATTTAACCAGAAAAACGTTTTGTTCTGTTAATTAAATATATTTTTTCTCTGTTTAAACAAAAGATTGAGATCATCGAGGTTGAAGTAGAAATACGAGTCAGCAGGTATTTACCGCAAAGTGGATGCCCGAAAAGAACTTACTACAACTTTTTTTATAACTATGCCAATGGTGTTTCAATATGGATCACGATTTTTTATTTTTTTGAATATCAAAATCCGGTGAATGACAAGGGGTTACATAGCAGTATTTAGACAACCGCGTATTCAGATTCGTCAGTATTTAGACAAATACTGTTTCAACCAATCAGAATCGAGACAAAGAAGAAATTAATATATAATTATGGTTTATTTTGGATTATTTATGTCTTTTCTCGATTCTGATTGGTTCATACAGTATTTGTCTAAATACTGACGAGTATGAATACGCGGTTGTCTAAATACAGGCTGCACTCCATGACAAGGAGACGGTTTGATTTTGACTGAACTGATTAACGAGCTAAAAAAAAACAAATTGGGGAGGATTCTCATGCTTGAAGGACCGAATGCTAGAAAAATTTCAACCAATCAAAATCGCTAAGCGTACTTATTGGCTAAATGCCTTTACCACAAAATCGAAGTCAAAATTAACAGAAAATGTTTTAAGCTGTGCAATTCGTGCAGATCTAATAAATTTTGTTTTTTGTTTGTTTTTCCATTTTTCGTAAATCGGTATCTTTGAAATATTAAATTTGTTCCAATCCACCTTCGATCCAGCAATATTTGAAAACTCATCTGCTTATTATCTAATCGGTCAGTATTAACCTTAATTGCCTGGATTTATTTTCTTACTTTGTGATTTTTGCGATTTACTTTGAGTTTGTGAAAACTCAATTCTGATTGGCTCAAAGGAAGCTAAAATTAATTTCAAGCATTCGGTCCTTCAAGCATGAGGGACGCCACCAAAAAAATGAAGGCATTTTGGCGGGTAATTGAACAAAGTAGGCGGTAAACAAATTATTGTTTCACTTCTTGCTTGCACTGAAATCGAACAAAATAAGACTAACTGCTGTAATAAATAGTATCTCAGTAGTCGGCTAATAATTTTCTTATAAACGGGTGCCTTGCTTCTGCTTTGTTTGCTTCACTATCTCTCATTTTTGTCTATTAAGTTCATTAACTAAAATTCAAAATAAGTTCCAATAATTACCGTAAGACAAGATTATGTGTCAGTTTCTGAAAGTGAAAAAGTGGCACTTCAAGAATCTTTTGATGTTCCTAAAAACAGTATATTTCTAAAATTAAAAAAATTTGTATTAAAATTCATTGGAAATACAGGTATATATGAAAATTTTAATCGAACAGAGGGTATATAGAACTTAGACGTTTTACGCGATGGAAGGAGTAACAATTGGTTTCCGTCGTGAAATTGATTAGCTTCGGCTTTTTTAACTTTGTTCAGCTGCATTGATCGAAAAAGATATTACCAACGGTTTGGTCTTATCTATACAATCATCTTGCATCTGAGCTCACATTTTGGTGTCAGTCATGAAGTCGGCTGCGTATGCTTTGTTCACCCGCGACAGATCCAGCACTGAGTCACTGGTGTTATTCACGTTCTGTCTGCTCACATTTACTCCATTGCTCTTCAGCTGATTCTATTAAATGTATTGTCAATTTAAACAGTCACTTACTTTTTAGATAAAATATGGTTGAATACAACATTTATTTTGCAAATTGAACTTTAAATTGAAACCAGCATAGCAAAGATGAAAGACGCACCATTTCTAACCACAAAAATATAATGATCATTTTTTTCCAAAAGCCAGAAAACTTCATCGGAATTTCTAGTACAGCTCGACTTAATCCTAAAAGGTGTTCAATATAATGAATGATTTTAGTTGAATTTAAACTTTACCGCTTACATAGCAATCAGGGGTGTAATAAATTTATTGGAGTCCATTTTGTCTTATAATAAATATTTTTGTTGAATGGATAAAATATGTCCTACTGGTGTAAAAAAAAGTATTTTTAAATAAATTTTTAAGAGTAATGAACGTAGTGAGTACTCTTATATAGGTCTTGGTAATTTTTTGTGCTTTTTCTCAGGAAAAGATTTAAATTTTGTTCACGCTCAGTTTTGATTTTTTGCGGTTTGACGTTTGATTTCTTTTCAAGTTCATTTTTTTCATTAAAAGGAAGGCAAAATCCACTATCGAACAGCAAAAATGTAACGTTCACCAAAAACTTGATCGAACTCTAGTTTCAAAGTTTTCATTTTTCCCAGCGGAAAAACTCCTCACCTTTTGATCGACTTTTCTCAATTTGGGTACTTTTACCTATCAAAGCACCAATCATAAATTGTTCGTAAAAGTCAAAAAACCTTAAGGCTAAATAACTTTTCTTTAAAATTTGAAAATTGAAGTTTTTTTCAAAAAACAATTTTTTTTTTTCGGTTTCCTTGCCTTCATGAGTCTTTTCCATCTGTCAGTTGGCTATGTTTTCTTAGAATATTTTATCTGAATGTTTGAACGAAAATTGAAAAAAGAGAAAAAAATCAATTATGATAACTTTCACAACAATTATATACAACATGGATTTTTGTAAGGGAGACTAGCTTGTTGGGCTTGTAAGTCTTTCAACGGATCAGTTGACCAAACCCCCCGTAATACCCAATTGAGCTAATACGCAATAGCAGAAACAAACGCTACAAAAGGCGTTATAAAACGCGTGATTGGTGTGTTAATAGCACGCAATTAATTGACCGACTATGGTTAATTTATAAGAGAGTCGAAAGAAATTTTTGAAAAAATCAAAAAGAAAGAAAACACCAAAAATTACCGAACATTTTTTTTTGATTTTTGGTGCTCCAACCTTGTATCTGAACATCAAAAATTAGTTTCGGCAGCAGCTTATTTATGTACACAATAGCAATTTTTTTTATTTTAGACCGAAAAAGGTCGAGTTTATGTGCATCAGTTTCTTGGATTTTTCTTTCTTTAAAGTAACTTTGAGTTTTAATACTGTGTTTTTTGGTGTTCTACAATCGCTGGCTGGAGAAAATGGCTCATTATTTAATGTCGTTCAAAATAGTTTCAAGTAGTTAAAAAAATGTCTCAAGTGCCTATTGAGCTATCTGCCCCCCCCCCTCCCTCAAGCGAGAATGGGCGGCGGGGGGGGGGGGGTATTGTTTAATTGATACCTTTTAACAGACCGACCTATGGACAGACTTGAAGCAATTAACAAACCGGAACATTAATTTCGAAGGTGGTATTAGCAAGAAGCGACTGCTTGCACTGCCGCGCTTACATTCGGTAATAATGGTAATGTGCACGTGAGTCAGTTCAATTTATTCTTCTGATTTTAAAAACTATCTAGTTTTGATGACCAACCGTGTGATATTTGTCTTAATTAGGGAAGTTCAACCCCAGACAAAGCATTTTTTCACATATAAGCCAATTACGTTTTAGTTGTATTATATTATTCTGCTAAAAGACCAATTTTCCTTTTTCATGCTGAAACGATGGCCTGCTAAAAAAACAGGTTGCGATAATTGAAATTGGTCCATTTTCTTGGTTTATTACCAGGTAAAAATCCATGAAATTAGCACCTAAACAAAATTGACACCTCTAAAAAGTGAGAGAGCTGCCAAGCTTAGCTGTCAAAACACGGTTTTCATGCAAGGTATTAGCAAACATACAAAAGATAAAGGTTCCTTAAAATAAGAACGCTAAAAAAACGCTTTGTCTTGTTAAACCCCAGTCGAGCTCATGGATTTTAACCTCGCGCCTTTTATTCATTGGGGAAAAAAGATTTCATCCATTTTTCCGCAGCTGGTCCCAACTTGAGGAGGCGGATGACACTGGTACCCCTCCAGTCATCACCGAACCGGGATTCAAATCCATGACATTTGTGTTAAAGGACCCACGTCTTACCCACTCAGCCAGGACTACTTAAGAAGGGCTAATTGCCAGCGTAAAATTTAACCAACAATTTATTGACTGAGAAAATTAAAAATAAATCGTCTTGCAGGATTTAAAAAAGATTTATTTTTATTACACCCTCGATTACAAAAGCGAAAAAATACTATCAGAAATGACTGCATGGTGATCTCAGAGAAGGCTCCAATTAACCGAGTGGTTTACCTCGCGATTTTAAAGAGCTAAGCTGTTGGAGCGTAAAATTGCCATTACTTACAGATTAGTTTGAATAAATTGACGCTATCAAATATAGGTGTATATTTTTAGAAAGTCAAAAAACAATTAAATTCTAACTTATAAGCCTTAAATTATCTTTTTCAGCAAAATTTTTTTGAAAAAAAAGTTGCGTGAAACAAAAATTTTATTACGTGAAGCAAAAAAAAATCATTGCAACTTTGAAATTTGCAAAAACACCTGTTGTGGATTTCAAATGATGTGTTGCTACTTCAGCTTCCGTATTTGGGGAGCTTAAAGTGGAACCCATGTTTTGATATGCCGGTTTGGATTTTCTGGGTTGTGCCGCTTTTTTCGATCATTATCAAGCACGTTAATGTCGAACACGGTCGAAAACGTTTTTTCTTCGGTCGAGTTGGTCAAAACATAGCTATTTTTTGTCGAGTCGGTCGAAATATAACTCGAACACCTCAACCCGTGAATGCTATCAGGCGTAAACAAAAAGAAAAAACGGGGCAAAGTGTACTGGCGTAGTCTAGAATGATGTGACATGCCTGATTGTGTTGGTGTCTCTGGTTGGTATAGTGTGCTGACATGAGTGCCCTCTCTCTGGCCCTGACCAGTTCCCTGGTTCTCTTGGAGTTGATCTGGTAGATGACGAAGAGGAGAGAGACTAAGGAGACGACTAGGAGGATACAGGACACCAGAATCACTGTGATTGACAGGTAGTTCATGCCTCAAACAAACATTCAGATCAAAGCCATGTTTTCCATGTGACTCCTTTAATTCCTTTCAATTGAATTTCATTGTTTTTCTATATCAAATTTATTACAGCTAGATTGTCTGTCATTGTAGACAGGGGCGGATCTAGATTTTCTCGAGGGAGGGAGTAGATTTTCAAAAAATTTTGAAATTTTATCGATCTTTTTCTTAAACTTTGTTTTAACAAGCACTTTTAAAAAAATGTTGGCATAAAAATTCGCGTTTTTTCGGTGCGCGCCTCTCCCTAAAACCGCTGGTGATTTTTTATGCTCTATCTAAGCTATTGTAAAGGACTTGATATTGTATTGTAAATTGACAGCTAAACACTGTATAACAAAGACTTGAAAAGAATTCAAAATTTAGATCGAATTTTGGAGAAAATTTATTTAAAAAAAAAACTTATAACCTGTAATTCGAATTGGGTTGACTTCACTTAAGAAAAACTGATCAAAAAATATTTCGATTTTAATAAAAACTATTGTGAGGAAATATGACAAATTTCATAATTGTTCTAATAACATGTTAATAACTTTTCCATCATTCTTATCTTAAATTAATTTAATTCGAACCAAATCTTCCGAATGTTGAATCTTTTTAATTTTACCTGGATACTTTCAAATGGTAACTTCCCAAATGGCATAATTCCCAAATGGCATAAAAATGGAAATTTTTCCCAAATGGCATAAATTTCAAGTTTTTATTGTAATTTAAACGTTTTCTATCAATTTCTATTTCTATCATTTTGTCAGGAACGAAAGCATGTAAACAAGATTTCGAACTAATTGCTTCCAAACAAATTTAAGCAACAGATTTGTCGTAAAAAATTGAGCACAAGAAGCTTATTAATGATCGCAAGCTTATGCTTCTTGCTTTTGATAAAAAGTTCTACAAGTTTTTCACGATAAAATGTCAATCAACATTTGAATTGACAATTTGACTAATTTTCTCACATTGTTCACGAAAAAATTGTTCTCGATTTTTCCAAAGCACCTGTTGCATGAAGCTTATGCCATTTGGGAAATTTTTCATTTTTATGCCACTTGGGAATTATGCCATTTGAGACGTAATCCTTTCAAATCACCTCTAAATTCTAATTTTTTTCTTTTTTTGTTAAAGCTATCCCAATTCGAACAAAATGATTTTCAAACGTTCAGATTTTAATATTTACGTCCAGAATCGTATCCCGTTACTCGAAAATTGGTGTACTTTTACAAATACTCTGATTACATTTCTTTTTAAATTGCATGTATGAGTACCTGCTTGGAGGTGCAGTTCCTCGTGAGTGTGTTCCTCCTGGAAGTGCTGGAACAAGAGTCCCCCTGCAGATCTCCCTGTATGCTGATGGGGGAGGGGAGGATTCCCTTTACCACCCGATGCTAATGCTGCTGCATCGCACATGGTGACTGTATAAAGAGTTACAATCTGGATATCTGGATGGTCGGTTAAAAAAGATTTCTGATTCAGTTGATCTGATTTTTTTTTCAAATTTTTAGAATTTTTATTAATTTTATATAATTGGTGGATAATTTTTCTTAATTTTTGAGATTTTGTGTTTTTATATTCTATTAAAAATATAAAAGATCATGATGAGATAGTCTTCGATTCAAGGACTACAAGTGGCTTTATTCTTCGATGAACAGTTCTGAGCGAACACTTCAGTTTAAATTAGGAAAAGCTATGTTTTGTTCTTTTGATGGTCAGTTCAAAGAAATCCGAGAACTGGGACATTACTGCAAACGGGTAAACACTTCAAGACTAAAGAGGATAAACTGTTTTGAATCCAATCTTGAATTTTGACAAGGCCTCCTTTGAAAAACCATTCAGCTTAGATAGACCAAGACCTTAAGTTCAACGCTAACTTTTCTTCCAATGTAGCTGTATGAGCAAGTCAAAAATAAAAACTTCAATTGTAAGCTGCAACCCGTTTTAGATAGCAAATTCACTATGATTGATGATAAATTAACAACTAAATGAACATTTTAGGATTTTTCTAATATGCAAATTTAATTTACATCGACATCGTTGGTATAGACATTTACATCAGCATTTATGGAATCTTCAATTCATAACAGAAATACAATTTGGGAAATTATTGTGGGGTGTATTCAATTTGTTATGAGTGAAGAACAGTTTGATAGAAACTTTTTTGTTGCTTCCCATCATATATATTTTTTTGCTCGCTACGAATGTGATCAAAAATGAACTAATTTATCTCTTTGAGCAATTTCCGAGCTACTATCTTCCAAAATATCTATCATACATATCAATGCCAACCCATAAAGTCTAAGAGTTTTGTACAACGTTATCAGTATCAGCATACCTATTGTATAATCGATCATTAACCCCCCACCCTATCCAGAAATAAGTATCAAATTTTAGATGTTACCAGTTCTCATTATTAGTTATATTGGACGACCAAACGTTTTTATGTTTTTGAAAGTAGTTTAATTAATGCATGTTCAAATTTACGAAAAAAATCTGACATTGTGAATGAGCCTGAAAATTTATTTACAGCAACGGTGAAATCACTTGAGAAGCAGCATCCTTGTCGAGACAATTGAAAATCAAACAAGCTTCACAGTATGTCTATGATTTGGTTTTTCAAAACTAAAAATTTGAAGAAAACAACGACAACTTGCTGGTAATATGCACGTGCACGTAATTGGTTTTGTAGAAACTACTGCTTCACAGATGTACCATTAATTAATGTTATTTATGGTCAAACATAGTTCCAAAGAGTAACACTTTCAGAAGCTCTGCATGTACTCCGTAGCATTGTTGGCAGGATTTATCACATCTGTTTTGTCATCCTGTTTCTGCTCAGCGCTGAGGGGGGAGGGTAGTTCGGGAGGGGGGTTGTGGTGGCCAATGGGGGAGGGCAGTTTCTCATCCTCTTCGAATCTGTCGTCTATCTGCAGTGAGACTAATTGACTCTCGTTGAAGACGTCCGGGTTCCTGTCCGGGTTCATCGAGTCTTCCAGGAAGCTTCTGGAACAAAGACCAAACAAATGAAAAATATAATAAAATCATCGGGTCATGGGTGATTTATAATGAATTGCATATATGACAGCTGAATAAGTAGCACAGAATGTTCCGACAACAATGATTGAATTGAGAATTAAAAATCTAAATCTGAAAAAAAATTTTGAAAATCTTTAAAAAAGTTGAAAAACTGATTTTTTAAAAAAATGTTTGCCAATTTTTTTATTGTATTTTTTTTTGCCAGTACGGGCGGTTAAATTGGGTCAAAAATTAAACATCAGATCTGTTAAATTATTTTCCAGCTACATAATGCAAACATTGCTGACAAAATTTACAGAAAACTCGATGAATTATCAACAAGCATTTCAGCTCACCGAGTGGTAACCGTGAAAACATGTTCTGGACGAGAGCATCAAGTATAACAGTGTGAAAAAGTATAGAACCGCAAATTATGAATTAATTTGTTGTCTAAGATAAAAACAATTTTAAAAATCTTTATCGTCAGCTGATTTTATGTCAAAATTTACTTAGTTATTCAGATTTAGATCATTTGTGAACAAAAACTATCGAAACACTTGATCCTATTTGTTTTTGAACTGGCAGCTGTATTTGTTCTCTGTTGGTTTTTGATAATATTAAACCTACTAAAATTGTGAAAATTTTTCGCAAACTTCTTAAATATGAACTTTGAGTTTAATGTCTATTATAGGGCCTAGATATTTGGCAGTATCTTTCCTTTCAAGTTTTTGTTCCGACTTTTGATACAAAAGTAACGGAATGTTTGTGCTCGGGGTGGTGTTTTTTTTCTTCAGACAAATTTCGACTTTTAACTAGCCATTTTTGAAGGAATTTTTTTATATCATTCGAAAGGTATTGTTGTTCTAAGCTTAAATTTGAAAAGATATTTTACCTGTGATCATTTTTCGTAAAGTTACGGGGGTTTAAAAATAGCCATTTTGGCCAATTTGGGACAATTAACGCGCGATATATTTCGCGCTATTAACGCGTACGCGGAGAGTTAATCCGTCTAAGAAATCGTTCCAAATTGCTTGAAAGAAGCTTATTTGCCATAATTGATTTGTTACAAGGAGCGAAATCTATCCTTTTGTACTTAATATGGCGTGTGGGGGGATGATTTTCATTTAAAAAATTCAAATTTTAGAAGAAAAAAAATTTCATCTTGTTTTATTTCTTTTAATTTCTTAAATGTTATTACTGCTCCATAAACATTAAAAGGCGGTCGGAACATTCAGGGCTTTGCCCTGATACGAGCAGTCTTGTTTTTATTGTATTCATTTATTGTAAAGGCAATTTTTAATGTATTTCTCGAGCTCAAAATTACTATTGCGACAAGCATTATACATTGTGGCGTTATCAGCATGAAGAAAAAACATTTGGATTTTTGCATACATCAGGAATATCGTCGATACATAAAACAAAAAGCAAAATCCCGAATCTAAGCCTTGCGGCACACTAAATCGTATTGGTTTAACAACTGAATTTTCATTGCCATGCGCAACATATTGTTTGCAATCACTTCAAAAGTTTTCAATACTTTTGTTACTTTTTACTCGAAATCCATAGCAATGTAATTTTTTGAATCAAAATGTGTGACGAGTTGTGTCAAAATTTATCATATGATCAATGAAACAGGCATTTGTGAAATATAAATAATAAAATTATCAATCGATTAACTTTAAAACTCAGTGAAGCGAGTCAAAGCAGGAACAAATGATCTTTTGGTTTGAAAACCTAAGCTATTCCCTATTTTAAATGCCATTTTTCAATGAAGGACATTAGTCGTTTGTATAATTTTTTTCGGATGCAATTGAAATAGAGTTAAGCAGGCTAATTGACCTATAAATGTGGTCAACAGAAATTTCTTCTCATTCAAGTAGAGCCGTGACCTTTGACAACTCAGGACTATCAGGAAAAACGCCTTCAACTAAGAGATCATTAAAAAATTTAGAAAGTGGTTGACAATCAATAGGCGACAGTTTCTGAAGTAAATTGTTACATCAAGACAACAACTGTTTTTTCAATTTTTATTATTATGATTTTTAATTTGCAATTTTTTGAACATTTATGTGTGATGAAACACACTCGTTTTTATTTGAAAATGGGAAAAACTTTTGCTCAAATTAAATTTGCTAGTAAATGATTTTAAACAATTTTCTTCTCCTAACGCATCCTTACAAAATTTATTTTAAATCCTATTAATGTTTAATTTATCATTTTTTACCTTTTCGTTTTATTGTTCCGACTTTCGATACGAAAATAACGGAATATTTGTGCTCGGGGTGTTTTTTTTTCTTCAGACAAATTTCGACTTTTTAACTAACCTTTTTTGACGGAATTTTTTATATCATTCGAGAGATATTGTTGTCCTGAGCTTAAATTTGAAAAGATATTTCACTTGTGAACATTTTTCGTAAAGTTATGGGGGTTTAAAGATTGCCATTTTTGCCAATTTGGGACAATTAACGCGCGATATATTTCGCGCTAATAACGCGTAAGCGGAGATTTAATCCGTCTTAGAAACCGTTCCAAATTGGATGAAAGAAAACTTATTTGCCATGATTGATTTGTTACAATGTGCGAAATATATTCTTTTCTACTTAATATGGCGTGTGGGAAGATGATTTCAAAAAAAAATTCAAACTAGAATTTTTTTTTTCATTTTATTTTATTACATTTAATTTTTTTCTAATGTTTTTACTGCTCCATAAACCTTAAAAGGCAGTCGGAACATTCAGGACTTCGCCCTGATACGAGCAGTCTTGTTTTGTATAGGTAAATTTACTCGATCCTTCAAAGATTCAAAATGTACTGCTCCACTTGACCCAAACGATTCTCCAACTCTCCCACTCGTTTCCGTAACTGATGAATAGTATCTTTGTTTGTCAATTTGTCTTTAAATTCTAGTAAAATTGCATTAACTGCAGCATTTATTATAGTTTCGAAAGATAAATTTGCCAATTTATTGCGCAAGTTTGTTTACACCAGAAATTCAGTTCAATTTTAGAACACTTTTTCTTGCAGCTAAGATGCAAATAACTCTCAACTTTCGTTCTTCGCTTTTTGCACAATTTTTTGTGTTTGAACGATACATTTTTCGACTGGAAAAACAGACCTTACGTCAAATTCCTTTCCAACCTACCTAAGAGGTTGATCGGAACGACGAAGATAACGAGTTGACGTACGAATTACACAAAAAAATTTTACCACAACGACTGAAGTGAAAAAAAAAATCCAAAACTATAAAAATTGACCGTAAGATCCTGTTTTCAGTAAAGGCCACTGAAATGCGATGAAATATCAGCTGAAAAAATGTATAATTCGCAAAAGTTTTCGTGGTACTCAGACAAGTTTTTAGAAAATGTTGTTTTGAAAACTGGATTACCATCAAGAAAATTTTAATAGGATGCTACATATGACCAAACACGAGGTACCAGAAATCAGCTGGAAAAACACATCCTACGCCATTCGTGAAGAGGTCGGAACGTTAAATGTTCGAGTTGAATTTTGAAGGAGTAAAATTAGTGGCGTTGTGGCGCATCGATAGTGATGGTGGCCATCAATCATATGATTACCGGTTCAAAATTCACGTGCGCTATTTGCGAGATGAGCCTTCGTAAGATAGCCATAGCTTAGTAAACTTGAATAATTAACCTTCGGGCGAGGCCTCTGGCTGGTTGACTACAAAAAAAAATTACTTCTACTCACTGCAAAGCATTGCTGCTCCAGAAATGGTCTATGCCTCTCCCTGAGCCTGCTTCCGAGTGAGTGTGCGGGAACCCGTCTTCGCCTCCCAATTCAGCCCCGAATGCCGAGTCAGAGTCGGCGTGGCTGCCGTTAAAGTTGGAGAATACGTCTGGGTGCATTCCAGCCGCATCTGACCTATGATTTACAAAAGAAAGAATGATTATGATAAATTTTGTTTGCTAATTGAATTTCAATTTCCAGACTTCCAGATTTCCAGATTTCGAAATTCAACAAACAAAGCAGGGGCGGATCTAGGATTTTCTCGAGGGGGGGGGGCGGATTTTCAAAAAATTTTCCAAAATTTTGACGACCTTTTTTTTTTTTGGGTCGACCAAATTCATTTTTATTTTTCGCGCTCTCCCAAAGCACTGTTTTGCCCCCTATTTTGGCTAAATTTTCTTTTGGGAAAAGCCGTTTTTTGGCACTTTTTGAAAAATTTTGACAAAAAAAATGGTTTTTTTGGCGCGCGCTCTCCCTCAAAAATAGCATATATTGGCGCCAAAGGCGCCTTTAGAAAAATTTTAGGGTCGGTCGGCCAAAATGGATTTCGGAAAAAGTATCAAAGGACCCTTTGGGTCGGCAGGGGGTCAAATCCCTGAGGGGGGGGGGGGCGTCCGCCCTCCCCGCCCCCCGCCTAAATCCGCCCCTGAAACAAAGAGTGACAAAATTTTCGAAATTCCAACTCGCCAAAATTCCAGATCCACCTCTGATTTTAATTGCTTATTAGTTTTTCAAATGGTTAGCTCTCTTTTGAGGATTTCTAAAACAATTTCTAGGCAGGTTTTAACATGAAAAGTCTCTATCGACTTAACAACATGCTAATTTTCTCGGGTTAGAAAAAACTAACAAACTAATGTGAGCGGTTGCTGTGCAAGTAGCACAAAATGCTCCGCCCATGTTCCGGTAATTTCCCTAAAAATTTTGAAAAATGGTTTCTGGTTGCTTTACTAGACAAAAGAAGAGGATAAAAAATTTAAGAAATATGCTGAAAAAAATAAGATTTTGGTACAATCAGATTGGGAGTTTCCTCTTTGTCCTTCTCTTCCCCTCATTCGCGGTAAATTAGACTGAAAAATGGTACTTACAGACTTCCAGATCAGTTTTTCTCAAATTTGGAATTACTTTTCGAAATTGCTTTAGGTAATTTAAAATCTTGATGATCCTTGAAAGCGCTTCAATATGATATATCACTGCACCATCTGATTTTTATTCGAGTGGACTGCAAAAATTTGGGTGGACTTTGTCATGCAAAATATGTGTCATCTAGGTACCATAGAAAGTATGGTACTTTAAGAGATTTAAAAATGGGCTCTTTTTCCTTTCCCCCCACCTGCAAATTTTTACATGTAAATTTGCTGACCACATTGTCCGATTGTTATGAAAACTTACATACAGACTAATAAGGCCACGACAAACATATTTGGTCTTCATACTTAACCTCGTAAAACCACTCGTTACACTAATATATTGGAGCTGGTGTGAGGTGGGGAGGGAAAAGGAAAAAGAGCCTAAAAATGTAGGAGTATTGCTAGGTCATTGACAGACTTGCCGCAAAAAATCGAAGACTCAATATTGTTTAATTTCGTTTACTTTATTATTGTATATAATTCATTGTTTTTGTCAAGTTTTTCTTAATCCGCCCCCCCCCCCCCTCAAGAAAATCCTAGATGCGCCCCTGATTGTTTACCTGCCGTTGTGTAGAGCCTGTTTGGCGGACACGTAATCTATAGTGCCTGGAACTGGGGAGTGGAACTGGTTGCGACGCATGTACTGCTCCATTGCACTCATGCTACTACTGTCCCCTCCCCCCTCAGGGTATGACTCACTCTTCTTCTTCACCTCGTCCAACTCCTTGCGGGTCCTAAAGTTTAACAGAACAATAATATAACGTATTTCCTGCGAATCGCAGAGGATCTATCAGTAGGCCTTAACAGTTCTGTCGAGGATAGTCCATTCGTATTATCTCCCCACATTCCAGACTGTGTTATTTTGTTGAGCGAAATTCTTTTTCGCGACTCAAGGTAGTTTTTTTTGCGTCTAGATCTTTCACGTGGTACCACTATTGCAGCCAAATTTGATCAGGTTGTGGTAGACCTGAAGCTAGAGGTCAAGTAAGAGCTCGTCCTCACACACTATCAAGGCCATGGCTTGGGATGAGGGGGGGGGGCTGACGATTTCAAAGTGAACGCCTTACCACTATGCTAAGTGCCTAACAAACAATCATGGGGTCTTTTCGCTCCCCCCTCCTAAATGATGAAAAACCAAAATGATTTTTTTTGCAAAAGCAAAATTGCATCAAATTTACTACGAAACTCAAGGCTGATATCCAGAGCCCTGAATAAAATAGAAAAACTGCAAAGATGTGAAATAAACGGCAATTCAGAACGCATTTGGCATCATATTTGTAAAATTTATATGAAGGAAACGGCAAAAAACTGAGAAAAAGAAATATTTGAGGCTAAATTAGATGAAATTGCTCCGTTTCGGCCTGCGCCATAATTATAGCTAGTATTTCTTAGTATTATCGATCCAATTTTGCAAGAAAATTTTGGATTTCGACTTCTGAACATTTAAGGGGGGGGGGGGTGGATGCTCTAACCGAAATGCCACTTTTTGCCTCTCTTTTTGTAATGGAACATTTAAAACTGCCAACAGACACTTCAAAAAGATTCAATGAACAAATGGAAACATAAAAGTTAACTGTCTTAGTGTTTTTAAAAAAACTTTCGAATTTTCAATATATGTATATATAAATATTGAGCTGGTATATCAAAAAACTGAAATTTTTTTTTTTTGAAACTAAAAATTGTTCATGTTTTTTCTCTCCGTTCATGTTTTTGCAAGAAGAGCGCCAAATACTTAACGCATTGGAAAAACTAAGGCTTCAATTGATTATAATCAATTTTTATACTGATTTTCTACTGGTAAAAAATCGAATGCATGCAACCCAAATAAACACAAAAATGCATAATACAGGGATTTTATACTGTTCAAAATCATAGATAATATTGTATTCACTAGTATTTCACTTAACGTGTTTGATTTGGTGGATTCATCAATCCGGAGGGGTACTGGTAAAATAGTTTATCGCAAATTTTTTCAACAAAAGCGTTTTAGATCGGGTCTTTTGCATTGAACTAGAAGAGTATAGGCCTTTTGAGCTCAAATCAATAATTTTTAGGTCGAAAGGACCAGATTTGCGGAAAAAGTTAGGCGGAACCTATAATAGAGAAATTTCTTGACTTTAGAAAAAAGACGTTTTGGTTAATAACTTTGGAACTACTGGGCATATCCAGTTGATCTTAGTACCAATAATTAATTACTATAAATAAGTAATTACTATAAATAAGTAATCCAGTTGATCTTACTACCAATAAGTAATTACTAGAAAATGCATTTTGTTGCAGTAAAAAATCTAGATATCACAAGTATAAAATTCTCCAGAATCTATAGTATGCCGATTATATTGCCTGAAAATTGGTTTATATTGTCTAGAACATGGATTTGATTTTCATTTAAAACATGCTTTTCATTGTTCCAAAAACGATAGCTGAAAGCCTCAAAAACTTAAATAATTGGTGGTCCTAAAATTTTTTCGCAAAGTTTGAGTGAGCTTAAGTCACTTGAGAAAAATTCCTTACCACGGCCCATAAGCTCAATGAGATCCCTTGAACTTTTTTTAAGCATATGGGCACCAACGGTGAATAAAATAAATTTACGCAAAAATTTTTTAAAAGCTAATTCTAAGATGAGTTTATTTAGCGTCTTTTCTTAAAATAGAACCGACACTTAGTTTTAAAGATCATTGAAGAACAATATGTGTTACTGCAATAAACATACTCGTTTGTTTCTGATTTCATTAGTTTTTTTTTCAGTTCAAACAACAGCAATGAACTGAAAAGCATACATCATAACTTCAATTTCAATTTACTCATTGTATTTACACAGAGGCAAAGTTGCGCTTTGCAAACACTTGCCAAAAAACGAAAAAAAAAACTAGAATTAAGCCTCGAATTAGTAAAAACTCGGCTAAGTCTCTGATTCGATCTGCGGCTTGGAGATTATGAGTTTCACACACTAACCACTCAGCAACGGACGCTTAATAAATAACAAATACCATCTAAGAATAAAGAAGAGAACAGATGCTATGAAATTTCCAATTATACAGATTGTGATTATAGCAAAAATGCTATAAATGAAAGAAAACTTTTAGTGTTGATTTCATCAGTTTTAAATTAAGCAGCCACATAGTGGATGCTGTTAAGTTTTTTCCAGATGTCGAAGCTTTGGCTTTCGATTAAAAATGCCCAAATCCTATAAGTGCACAAGATACGACAACTTTTGTGATTTTATCAAAAAATTTCAAAACTCAAATTACAAATTATTTCACAAACAATGAATATCCCAGCCATGTAGTTGGGAATTGTCAGAAAACTGTCAAGGATTGCAAATGTTCCCTCCAAAAATGACTGCTCAAGTCTTTGTAGTTTTTGCGAGCTGACGTGTTGTGTGATTTCTTTTTAATTTTTCAAAAAAAACTAGATTTCAGAAAATTGAAAAAAATTAAAATTTCCAACCTTGTCATCGGGTACTGTGAACATATCTCAGGGTTATTAAGTTGCATATCTTGCCTCCAAATGCGGCTGCTTAATTGCTCTTCGTTTCCGAGATGGGACTTTTCGACTTTTAAAAGATTGCTCAACGAAATTATATAAAAAACTTTCACAAAATTTGAAGTTCCCATCCCTTTAGTGAGGCTCTGTCATAATATAGTCAGAACTTGCAAATCTTGCGTCCAAATGCGACTGTTCATTTGCTTATAGTTTCCAATATTTTATTTTTTTGAAGATTTTCGAAGAACTTAGATATAAACAATTTTACAAAATTTTATGGCTTTTCAAAATGTGAATACAAAACTTGATTGCAAATTTTACAAAATATGAAATGAGCTTGTTAAAGTACACTCAAAAGATGCAGATCTTCTTTCCAATGTATGCAGTGTTTTATGAAATGTTAAAATTTTGAAGCACCGGAGGTGCCTTACCCGCTAGTATGTATTAAATCAGTATAAATTCTGTATTTATCCTGTAAAAAATCTGCAGATATTATGCATTGTTTTTGTATATAATCTGATCTGTATATAGTCTGCATATGTTTTCTATTTTATCTTTTTGCAATCGGTATTTCATCACGAGGCCAAACAGTGCTTTTTGGGAAATGTAAGCGGATTCCGCAGCAAGGACTCTCCCTTTGTTCTTCTTTTGTTCTTTCATTTTCTTTGATCGTTCCGACAAAAAATTTAACATGTTTACAGACTTGTCTCTAATCCACGAACATGCAGACACAAAATTGTGCGCCTATTCAGTGCACAGTTTGGCCTCGTAATGTAAACCTGTATTAAATAAGTATAAAGTCTGTATAAAATGTGTATATAAATTGTCGATAATTTGTAGATTGTATGTATAAAAAAGCACACCAAAAATAGATTTTAATATTTATCGGATCAACTATTTTAAGTAAAAATGCAACCGATTACCAACGTTTTGATAGTTAATAAAATCCATTTTTGGGTGTTGAAAAATCTATCTATTCGAGAACCGTTTATTTTACTTGCGACAATTGATTGCAAATTTAGTTTTGCCAATGCGGGCAACTTTGGCAGATGAATTTGAATTGAACTGAAAAAGTGCATGTTTACCTAAGTGCATCCAAAAATGTATAGGAATGTATTTTTGTTCTTATTAGATCATTTTAAGACTTTTTCAGAAAAAAAAGTGACCAAGAATTATATAAGAGTCTTCACTACGTTCATCGACTCTTAATAACAGAAACTGTTTAGCCAGAAATGCTATAGCTGATGTCGAAAAATCTTTTTCGATTGACCGGATCTTTCCTATTAGTACCCCCTTAACTAGTTAAGAACACCATACAGCTCCAAATAATGATTGTTGTATTCTGAGGGGTGTCATTAATTGCTGGTATCAACAATGTTAAGATCCAATTTCACGCCATTCAAAAAGATAATACAATCAATTTAGTCGTGATAAAAAACCTCTGACGAAAAGTGTTATGTGGAAAACTAGGATTAATACCTCCGAAGAAAACAAATGAGCGCTAGCCAGAGTATGAACAACAGAAGAGCCCCCACCCCTCCGAAGATAGCGGCCAAAATGATCTTCATCTGGTCATCGTCGTCGTCTTCGACCAGTTCTCGGATCTGAGTCACTAGGTAGTCCTGTTTGAGTTGTCGGACCTCCTCGGGACTCCGGTCCATCTCGTGGACTATGAGAGAGGCATCTATGACCTGGTTGGAGCCGGTCTCTATCGCGTGGATGTAAAGGTCTGTCTTGGAGTTGTCGAGTGACCCGTCGGCACTCACGTGCACCGCCACGTCGTCAACAATCACACTCGCGTTTACTAGAATGATGAATGAATAATTGCTCTTAAAATTGAAACAAATTCAATAATATAATTTCAAAATGTGGTAACTTTTAGAAGTTTTAGTTTTTAATATTCGAAAAGAATTGTTACACGCTTCTGCTTAACCCGAAGTTCGTATGATTAATGCATCAGGTTGCTTCATGAAAACCGGAATCAACTTTCAATTCACGAAAGCGAATTAAGAGACAAAAAAAGTTTACTTAGAACTGAGGTATTTTTGGCATCATCATCAGTTCTAGTTTCTGATCTGATTTTTGCAAAAAAAAAGAGGTGAAAACTTGCGAAAACTTTGGAACCCCCGAAAAACGTCTGAAAGATCAATTTGATGAAAGTTGACTTATACTGAAACTATTTTTATTTGTAATATTACAGTTTAGAGACCACCCCCCCCCCCCCCCCCCAAAAAAAATACAAACCAATGTGGTTGAGTGTCTCAATGAACCCCCACTGTCTGCCATCTTCATGGCTCTGTTGGAGTTGGGACACCACGTGGGATATGGGCTGCTCCATCGTCACCAGCAGGCGCTCGCTCTCCTTCAGCAGGTAGATCTAAAACCAGCCAAGCATGGGGGGTTGGGGGATTGCAATTTCCAAAAAAAATTGCCATTGCCTGCGGTACATTACAAAAGAGATCAAAACATCGGATGTTTAAACTGTTTGGGAGAGCTCGAAAAATGAGCCATTTAAATGTTGGAGAAATGGTTGAATTTTTAAAAAAAAATTTTTTCAATTCGCCGACCCCCCCCCCCCCCATTAGTGAAAATCCAGAATTCACACTTCCGGCGTCCAAAAAAAACTAACAAAAAAACGAAATGTTTGTGAAATTCACATAAAACGGGAAGAATTCCATCATTGTTTAGTAGAAAAAAAACAGCTTACATTCTCACATACAATTCAGCAAATTTTCGATTAAGCTTTAGTTGACATTAAGGCTACGCAAACGACAGAAGATATTGAGGAAAAATTCAAAAAAAAATCAAAATCAAATATGTTCATTTTTCACAACCTCACTTGTTGAAATCAGCACTGAACGTTCGGATCACAGCAACCAAACAGAAAAAAAACTAAAAACGGTTGATTTTGAAACTACGCTTTTAATTAGATAATCATGTTTTACTAAGGAGAGCCGGTTGCCGAGCAAATACCACGGAAAGTTCCCAACAATAAGATATAATATGAAACAAAAAAATCAAAAACGGAAAAATTTTGTTTTAGTAAAATTTCCTGTTATTTTGTTTTTGTACAAATGACTAAAATAAGTAAAAACATTTGAATGAAGGACTGTTTATAGTAGGTAAAATAAGGTAAAATTTTTATGAAAAATTTGTGGACGAACATTTTCAGACCAGGTTTTCTAAACACTGCGAAATCTTTTGAATTTTTTGAAAAACAAATCTCAACCAATAATTTTTGTACAAGACACCACACTTGGTGTATTGTGAGTTTTTCTTGCGGCATTCGAAATCACACAACAAAAAAAATCGCCTATGCCATAGGTTCTCTTCCACCCCCTCATGAGGGGGGAGGGGGTGTTGCAATGCAAAACAAGAGTATAGATGCATATAAAATAAGCACAGTTGGCCAAGCGGATTAAGACAAAGTAACGTTACATCACAGTCGACGTAGGTTCGAGTCCCCCACCTGCCCATGTATTAATATACTAAAAACGGGGGTTACATCCTATTTTAACTGTTTTTTGGTTCTAATTCGGTTCAGCCTTGATTAAGACTGACCGCCCAAAAGAGCATTTTGTCTCAAGGACATTACCGACCGGTTCTTGTGGCTAGCTTGCGCCGATTTGTACCAAAAACGAACAGATGATAAAAAATTATATGATGTTTTTGATCGATAGAGAATGCCGAAATTTATCTATTTGCCTGAGTTATTTACCGAAAAATATCTCTTATTAATTTAACGAATTTGGATCAGTTTTGGAGACTAGCGAGCACATTTTGGCGCCCCACAAGGGACCGTGTTATTCTGAGACAGACGAAGATACGAAGTCTTTTTTTTCACGACGAGAGACGCGACGAGTGTTTTATTTGGCCTATTTCAACACAAGGGACCCGAAATCGTCAGTGATCACCAGGCCGAATAGTGTGGTTAGCCGAAAGTGGGCGTTTGGCCGAAAGTGAGCGTTTGGCCGAAAATACCACATACCAGTTGGCCGAAAGTGGGCGTTTGACCGAAAAAACCAGATATCAGTTGGCCGAAATTGAGCGTTTTGCCGAAAGTGGGCGTTTGGTCAAAAATACGAAACATCAGAGTACCGAATTGGCCGAAACTCGTCAAAGAGTTTACTTGACGAAAGTGGGCGATTGGCCAAAAGAGCCGACAGACGACAGAGCAGACAGACGAAAGAGCAGACTGACTAGCGGAAAAGAGGCCTGTTCAGGTGTCCTGATTGTTGACTTTTGGTCAAAGTGGAGCTGTGTTTTTCTCGACACCCGAAGTTTTGGATTTTTTCCCGGTGACGCCAATCTCCAATTAAAAACTGTAAGAAGTTTCCAAAACTTTTAAAACTCTCCATTCGTGCATTAAATTTATATACGATGTCATATATGCTAGAAATTTTCACGCAAGCTAGCCCCCGGTAATTTTTCTCAATACCCAAATTTTTTGGACAGTTCCGTTGAACTGAAATATCTTACAGTCGGTACATAGACAAACTGACTTGACATTTTTTCTCGATACCAAAATTTTTTGGATATTTGTGAAAGGAATATTAATCCGTGAAATCGGAAAATAGACAAGAGATACTGGACTAGTTTTTTGGATTGGTTTATGACTCCAATCTGCTGACCAAAATTTTCCGAAAAATTTTGTGAAAAAAGTAAAAAAAATTGCCAAAAAATCCTCAAAACGTCTCCAGAGTTCTGCGAAACTGTGCTGTAAGATGACAACAACCTTATGTTAAGTGTTCTGGTAGCGAAATAACAGGCAAATTAAGTTGAGTTTTTTCATCCTCAGGATTCTTCCGCGTGCGTTGTTGGAACTTAACCAATTTGCCTTATCCCCCACCCACCATTGGTGAAACTAAAAGCCGGTTCGCTTCAAGTAAATCAAAGCCGTTTCAGCCCGTCCGATTATTGACTTCGTTGCGTGACAGTATTGTTAAGTGGTCAGGTACGGTGATATTAAGTGAGTTAAGTTGAATTCTTTCATCCTCAGGTTTACTCCGTGTGTGTTGTTGGAGTTCAACCGACCTACTTAATTTTCCAACCCCATTGGTACTTAAGCGTAACGAAGCCATCGCATAGGTCCCTCAAGTATATGGTATTCATTCAAGGAGCTAGTTCCTTGGATCACGCGCTCCGAAAACTTCCCGCTCCGTCCCAGAAGCGCGTCAAAGATACTTGCTTTACAAAGCCAGGTTTAAGTTTGAACTTTAACGCTAGGGACTCTCAAAAAACAATACAGTACTACCCTCATCACTATTTGTCTCACCGTAATGACCTTGTAATTTGGCACGACGCCATTAATAACTCGATAAGTAGGCATCGCAGCAACAATAACCGCAAGCTGAGTAGTGAGCAATTTGTCAATTTATTATTAAGGTATAGGACCAAGATTTGTGCAATCGTATACTGTAGACGGAACGGAACCGAGGATATAGAGGAAAGCTTAGGTTTAACAGGTATTCTCGTTCTGAACGTCGTTAAAGACTTTATCTCTAAGCGTAAGGCTAAGGACCAGGTACTAATTGAGAAGTAAAAGAGATTCACCAGCCTCCTTCCCTTGAGTTAAAGACTCTCCTCCTTCTAAGGCGATATAACGCTAATCCTTAGGACACGTAAGAAGCGGAACCGCTTACCCCTCAAAGCTCGGAAAGCTATAAGAAATAGGCTTCAGGCAGAAGCTTTGAGGCGTCAAGTTCCCCCGTCTTGTAGGCTAATGTTGATTCACTAATGCAAATTCAATGACGTACCAAAACAGTATCTCATTTTATTGATTGTTTTCTATAAGTGAGCATCCGTAGAATATTGTCAATTTGTAAAAAACATGGACAAAAAATTCCAATGTAAAATACGCAAGTTATTCGAAACCCGTCTACATCTAGAAAATGAGCTGCTTAAAGGTCACTCATTATTACTTGAGTACATTGAAAATAATAGTCTCACTACAAAAATTGATTATGCTGTTTACAAATGTGAAATTGCGTTGGAAAAAGCTGTCGACGACAATGAGCAATTAATTAGGTTAGCGGGAAAAACGGAAAACCCTGAAAAGTTATTGCTCAGCAAGACTTTTGGCTAAAGAAAGTAACCGAAATGAACGATTAAGTAATGCACGAAGCTCCGAGTTACAAGATGAGCCTTGAACCTTCGTCATTTCCAGCAGCCGGCATTTCAGGGAGCAAGGGATCTTTACAACAAACTAGGTCTGAGACATCCTCACGCTCGCACCAAACAAGAGATTCAGAAGCACCAGTATCTGAAAACAGGTCTAAGGTCTCTAATAAGTCTAAGGATAGTAGAAAGCTTGACTCACATAAGTCTGATAATTCTGCTTCCACTCGTCATACGTCGACTGTTCGCACTATGTCATCAAGTGAGAAATGGCATGAGTTAGCTTTAGTAAAATGACGCCATGAGGAGCTGGAAAGGCAATATCAAGTATCTTTAAGACTTAAAGAGCAAGAGAACCGTCTTAAGTTCGAACAAAGTCAGCTGGAACTAGAGCAATTGGCTGAAAGTCATAAAAAGCAACTAATTGAAATGGAATTGAAAGCGTTTGAACTTGAGGACAGTTCATCTGAGGTTAGCGAGAAGATAGCGGAAAGTAACTTGACAGGAGTAAGTCAACCTATTTCAAAAGTAGCAACCGATCGAACTAATGATTGGGTAGACTCTGTTAGTTCACAGGCACCTCCTGACGTTGTTAGCGCACCAGGTTTGCAGGCCTTCACTCCTGTACCCATTTCGTCTAGACCGACGACTTCCGCCACCCTCGCTCATGCGATTCACACCAGTAATAGTCATAACCATGAGCACACAGCATTGAGTGACCCTGGAATCCATAGTTATGGACGTCAAGCTATGCCTCAATTTGGCAGTGCAAGCCTTTTGCCATTGCAAGCTTCTGTTCCATTCCCAGTTAACAATATGCATTCTAGTGCTCACGTGTTACCACCACCGTCTGCTGTTCCTTTACAGACCATGAGTTCAAACATAAATAATGGTAGTTTTGCCATCGCACAACCGGAATCATTACCTGTCCCAATGTTATCGGCACAACCCGGTTCTGGTTTTGTTTCTTTGTCACCTGCATTTGCTGGTGGTGGCTTCTCATCTTCCGGAGTAAACCCAACGCCGGTTTTCTTTTCGGCACCTAATTGCCATGCAGCGCCAGTCCAGACGCAACATAATCTTCCCTTTGTTCCGCATACTGTGTCACCTATTATCAACGATTACTACACAAGTGATGCAAACTTATGGCGATTGGCAGCTACAACTCCAATCGTCACACCTGCTCAGTGTTGTAATGCTGGAAACATTTTTTCTAATGTGACAACTGTTGTCCCATCGTGTAACACCGCCGCTCCGTAT